CCCCGTTTCAGCAAAAGGGCCCTCACCTGCCGGGCTGCACCAGACGCCCGGGTCCTCGCCAGGCCGAGAGTTGAGTCAGCCCTCGGTCCCCCGGCCACACTGTTGGGGTGGACGAGCCCAGACAGCCGGAGGATTCTTGTCCCGGCTCCCATCAAGCAGCCGCTGTTTGCCAGGCCCAGGGGAGGCTGAGTGAGAGGGGAAGGAGGAGGGAGGAGGGAGGAGGGAGGAGGGAGGAGGGAGGAGGGAGGAGGGAGGGGGAGCCCCAATGGGAAGGCTCCGATTCTGCCAGCAAAGGCTTTTGTGCTCCAGAATGCCAGGCCGGGGCCGTGGGCTCTGCCAGCGCGGGGCTCTCCAGCAATAATGTTTCTGCCTGGGTTTTTGAGGAGGTGCCAACTGCTTTCTAATTCAAACCATCAGGAGGAGCTCACATGTGCCGAGTCGCCGAGCACCACAGAAAGAAAACCGCTCCCCGAGCCAGACGAGAGCCAGCAGGGCCGGCCCGGGGCTCTGGCGCAAGGGGGCGGTGGGGGGGTCACCCCGCAGGCTCCTTCATGCCCAGCCGGCAGCTGGTGGCCACGCGGGGCCCCACTAGGTGTCAGAAGCAGCGTGAGGCTTGTGGAGTGCTCGGTGGCTGCTGCTGTAGTGCTCATTCACCCAGCACTCCGCGTGCTAGGTACTTAGCGCTGGCACCCAAGCCCCTGCTGTCAGCTCCATTTCACAGAGGAGGAGGGCAAGGCTCAGCCAGATGGAAGGGTCTTGCCCAGAGTTACCCACGATCTGCCTCCAGGGCTCAGGGCTCCAGGGCTCCAGGCCTCCAGGGCTCCAGGGCTCCAGGGCTCCAGGGCTCCAGGGCTCCAGGCCTCCAGGGCTCCAGGCCTCCAGGGCTCCAGGGCTCCAGGGCTCCAGGGCTCCAGGGCTCCAGGCCTCCAGGGCTCCAGGCCTCCAGGGCTCCAGGGCTCCAGGGCTCCAGGACCAGGCCTTGCTGCCTGCGAAAGAGACGGTTGAAGTCTCACCGGCTCACACCGACCAGGGTGGCTGGACTCAAACAGCCAATGACGGGGGGCAGTGTTGGGCACAGCGGCTGAGATGCCCACACCCCAGGTCAGCGTGCCTGCTGGTTTCCAGTCCCAGCTCCAGTCCCAATTCCTAAGTCCTGCTCATGCAGCCCTGGGAGGCAACAGGCGATGATGACCCAAGCACTTGGGTCCCTGCCACCCACGTGGGAGACCTGGATTGAGTTTGATGCTCCTAAAGGACCAAAAAAATGGTTGGAGCGCTGGTCTCCCATGTGGGTGGCAGAGACTCGAGTACTTGGGCCACCGTTCTCTGCCTTCGCAGGCAGGAATCTAGGTTGTAAGTGGAGCAGCCTGGGCTGGAGCCAGCACTCCTACAGGGGACGCAGGATCCCGAGTGGCAGAACTCTACCTGCTGCACCACCATGCCCAGCCCGGGCTTCCTTTTTGAGGCGATGAAAATGTTCTCACATTGACCATGGTGATAATTACACTCAAAACTACCGAATCATACACTTTCAAAGGATGAATTCTGTTGTATGAAAATCCTATCTCGATAGAGTGAGGGAGGGGAGAGAAGCAAATAATTCCAGTCCACACCGGCAAGCACAGGCCTGGGTGAAAGGGGAGGCAATCCAGGAAGCCTTCCTGGAGCAAGTGGTGTTGGGCTGGGTCCTGAAGAAAAGAAAAAAAGGAGCAGGGGGCCAGCGCCGTGGCATAGTGGGTAAGGGCACCACCTGTGGTGCCAGCATCCCATATGGGCGCCGGTTCAAGTCCCATCTGCTCCACTTCCAATCCAGCTCCCTGCTGATGCATCTGGGAAAGTAGTGGAAGATGGCCCAAGTCCTTGGGCCAATGTACCCATGCGGGAGACCCAGAAGAAGCTCCTGGCTCCTGGCTATGGCCTGGCCCAGCCCCAGCCATTGCTGCCATTTGAGGAGTGAACCAGCAGGTGCAAGATCTGTGTGTGTGTGTGTGTGTGTCTCCATCTCTCTGTAACTCTGACTTTCAAATAAATAAATAAAATCCTTTAGGGGTGGGGGCAGTGTGACAGGAGGGAGGCCATTGTCCGTGTCAGGGCCTCTCATCACCAGCTGCCCCCACCTGGGGGACCCGCTGTGCCCCGGCCACATCCGCTGCACCCTCCAGGCCTCCCGAGAAACACAGGGGCCTAGGGAGAAATCGAAACAGAAACACCGGTGTCTCTCCCGGGGCAGGTTCCAAGAAAGGAGAAAAAGTGGCTTCTCCAGGAGAGAGGTGGCGAGCTTTGAAGGGGGGAGGAAACCCAAGCCGCAAGAGGAAGTGGAAGACCAGGGTAAGTATGAGAGAGAAGCAGGTGTCCCGGGCGCACGCGCGTGCGCGCGCACACACACACACAGCCCTGAACACCTGCCACGTGGGTTCAGGGAAACCCGACTCTGGGCAGCTTCCAAGGGGCAAAGGAAGTTGGGGGGGGGGGCGGATGTTGTGGTTCAGGGGGTTAGGCCGCCGCTTGGGGCGCCCGTGTCCTATAGCTCAGTGCCTGGGATCCAATCCCACCACTGCTTCTGATCCGGCTTCCTGCTAGTGCACCTGAGAGGTCCCAGGTGATGGCTCAGCTACCTGGGTCCCTGCCACCCATGTGGGAGACCTGGAGGGAGCTCCTGCCTCCTGGCTTTGGCCTGGCCCAGCCCTGCCTGGTTTTGGGCACTTGGGGACTGAACCAGTAGATGGGAGATCTCTCTCTCTCTCTCTCTCTCTCTCATCCTACCTTTCAACTAACTAAATAAATAATTATTTTAAAAAGTGTGTGTGTGTGGAGGGGTGGCCAGCGCTGTGGCACAGCGGGTTAACGCCTTGGCCTGAAGCGCCAGCATCCCATATGGACACCGGTTCAAGTCCCAGATGCTCCTCTTCCAATCCAGCTCTCTGCTGTGGCCTGGGAAAGCAGTAGAAGATGGCCCAAGTCCTTGGGCCCCTGCACCCGTGTGGGAGATCCGGAAGAAGCTCCTGACCCCTGGCTTCGGATCAGCACAGCTCCGGCCGTTGCGGCCAAATGGGGAGTGAACCAAAGGATGGAAGACCTCTCTCTGTCTCTACCTCTCTCTGAAACTCTGCCTTTCAAATAAATAAATAATAAAAAATGTGTGTGGAGAAGGCGCAGGCGGAGGTGACAGCAGGTGCCTCCCAACCACCGCCCCCATCAGCCTCCCATCCTCTGTGGTCTCTTCTGCAGGCTCTGTGGTCTCCCAGAGTGGCCACAGTCCTTGCATTTCTGGACCGGAGTCTGGATTTGGCTTTTGTCCCTGCCAGGTCTCAGCTGTGGTCTCTGACCCTCAGTCTGCCCATCTGTAAGATGGCAATCACGTAGCCACTCCGTCTCTGCTGCCCGAGAATCCAGGGGATGGGTCAGCCGCCAGCTCCAAGGGAAGAGAAAATCGTGGGCACAGCACCGGCCACTGCTCTGTGCACGTTTCCACCTCGGTGGATCATTTTCCCGCCTGTTGCGTCCTCCGAGCTTCACGGCTCTGAGTGGAGAGCACCAGACGGGAGTCTTTATACCCATTTCACAGGAGGTAGAACTGAGACTCATGGCTGGAAGGGGTGCAGGGTGGATGTTGGGCTCCTTGGGGCATGGGCATCACCACCAGCAGGTTCTCCATTCTTCTGGCCCTGTTGGCCCGTGAACGAGAGTACAGAGGGTCCTTGTGCTTATCACGATTGCAGCTTCCTGGGTGCCGTGGTGGGTGCTCGGGGTGCTTGGTCTGGGACAGGGAAGCTTTCACAAACGTGCCCTCGAATAGCTGGAAGGCGAGTTCGGGAGTCGCGGGCAGGGAACGAGGGCAGAGTGCAGACAGAGGCCCTGGGAGGCCACCAGGACACGGAAGAGGGAGCTCAGCTCAGCGTGGAAGGCAAGCTTCTGAACTCCGACGGACCAGGCTGCGGTGCGTAGTGAGCTGCCTGTCACCACCGGGTGCCCACGGGCAGCTTGACAACCACTTGGCAAAGGCGGCTCCGAGGGGAGCGAATTCCAAGAGGGAGGTCAGCCTAGAGCCAGGCTCCTCCCACATGACTGGCACCCCGAGCTGGGGGCTGTCCACTGCCTTGCTGAAATCTTCCGTCCACTGAGCCACTCCCCAAATGCCCGCATCGGCCAGGGCTGCGCCAGGACAGCCAGGAGCCGGGAGCTCCATCCGGGTCTCCCACGAAGACAGCAGGAACCCAAGGACTTGGGCCATCCTCTCTGCCTCCGAGGCGCATTAGCAGGAATGTGGACGGGAATCGGAGCAGCCGGGGCTAGAACCATCTCTCCCAATATGGGGTGCAGTTGTCCCAAGCTGTGGCCCAACCCACTGCGCCGCCAAGCCGGGCCCCTGAGTACTTCTTCTTAAACTGTTCTCCTCCCTTGACCTGGCTTGCTTGGACCTCTCCTGTGCCCCAGATTCAGTGTCCCTCCAGCGGCAGCCCCTCCTTGCCCTGTTCTTGCTCGGCTCTGGGTTCCTGTCTAGTGAGGACCACACACGCATCAGCCAAGGGACCGAGGCAGAGACGGGAAACTGCCCCTGCCCCCCCCAGCCTGTCTCCCGCAGCCCGAACCTGACCACAGCCCAGCGCTGCCTGCTCGCCCCCTGGATGCCCCCTCAGAAAGCGGCTGGGCTCCCTGGTTCCCCTGTGCCCAGGTCTCTGACCCAGACGCTGGCTGGCAGTCGCTGCACAGGCAGGAGCAGGGGCGGCGCGTGTGGGTAGAACCGTCCTCTGGAGGAGGAAATGACCTGGAAAGCCAAGACCACAGCCTTGTTCACAAAACCCCAGACACCCGAGCTGTGTCCTCAGAGCGGGAAGGAGGACGCTCGGGGACAGAGGGAAGCCCAGCCTTGTGCCCAGCCGCGCAACGGTCAGGCACAAGATGCTCCTAGCAGAATGTGTGGCTAAGCGGGCGCCGTGGCCCACGATGGTGGCGATCTTCCCAAGTTTCTTCTGTCCCTTACGGCAGATTCGAGCCGCAGGGGTGGTTTCAGAACTGTTGTGGGTGTTTGTATTTTGTTTTCAGCAAAAGGGTATCCTGCTTCTTAAGGAAAATCTCACGTGATGTCCCAGTGCATAAAATGCCACCCCCAAAGTCGCCCCGCGTCACCTCCCATCCCCATGGGGCTCCTGAAAGCCCACTTTGAAACTCACGGGTTTTTTTCTTAAGGCCTTTGCGGCCGTGGTGGTCTACGATCCTGTGTCTGAGCCCACCTCCCCCTGGCAGGCACCCCGACACAAAGGCCTCCCTCGCAAGGCCTGGGGTGATGGCTGTGACCCGCGTTAGCTTTGAACATGCTGAGATGGAAAATTCTGGTCATCCGAGTATTCTGTTTATTTCTGTGGGTCCCTGGGTAAACAGGAATTCTCAGTACCCAGCAAAGATAAACTTATGGGACTCATTACCCCAGAAAGGGTTACAGGCCAAGGACACGAGCACACCCGGGCAGACTCTGCTCTGTTTGGATGACAGAGCCCAGAGCAGACACCTAGGTCTGTCCCAGCCCTAAGACAGCAGCTGTCCCGAGGCCACAGCCTTAGGAGCCGCACAGGCCTTTTCTCATCCCTTTGAGGTTTGCCGCACTTTCTTGTCCCTTTTATACCAGTGGGGAAACTGAGGCTCAGAGATGAGGTCGGGTTGGCATCTCATAGGGGTGATGCTCCACATCCCTTCCAGTTCACTGCTAGTGCAGTGGGACATGACCCAAGTGCTTGGGCCCCTGCACCCGCGTGGGAGACCTGGAGGAAGCTCCTGGCTTCAGCCCAGCCATGGTGGTCATTTGGGGAGTGAATCAGCAGAGAGAAGCACACGCTCTCTCTCTCTCTTCCCTCCTCCATGTCCATGGAGGGACCACTTCAGATCTGGGCTCAGGCTCCTGACCTGCAAGTTGGTGGTGTTGGACTAGAGCCCAGCTTCCTGAGTGGCCCAAGCCATTGCTCCGGGCCCAGGATTGAGTCTGATGCTGATAACAGACAAATGAATCAAGACAGGGCCCCTGCAATGTAAGAGGGACAAAGGGCCGTGGGCGGGCCCTGCCAGGCAGCTGGTGGGCACGCATACGCAGGTTTTGGTGAGCTGGGCTGGAGGCTGAGGAGTGAGGTGACAGCTGGATGCAGCAGGAAACAGCATTTCCCCAGAGGGAACAGCCTGTGCTAAATGGCGGAGGCACGAGGCCCGACCTCAGAGACTTCTCTCGCCCTAACTGCCGTAGGTACGTACGGGTGAGAAGAACAGTGGGTACCCGGGGTCAGCATCTTGGAGAATGACGGAAGGTGGGTTGTTCTTTCAAAGTCAAAGCCCCTGACTTCCAGAACCCTGGGGCTGGCCAGGGGGAACATTTCTGAGATTTGCTGAAGTCTCTGAACCAGTTCGTGTTGGAGCTGGGAGAGCCCTTTGGGGATTGTATCAGTTTCCTGTGGCTGTGGCCCTCAGTGGCTTAACATAATAGCCACTGGTTGACTCAGAGAACTCAAGGCCTGGAGTGAGAAATCATGGGCCAGCAGGGCTGCACCTGTGTGTGGGGAAGACTCCTCCCTCGCTTCTTTCCAGGTGACTCCTAGCAGGTGGCTCCAGGCATCCCTGGGCTTGCACTTACATCACTCTGCCTCCTCTCTGCCGATCGCCCGTCGCCCGTCTCCCCCTGGGGTATAGCGTTAAGACAGTGCTCTCCGATAGCAGCCTCCTGGTAATGACGCTGGTCCTTGGGTTTAGGGCCCTGATAATCAGATGTCCGCATCTAGACAAGGGCCCCTGTCGCCGCTAAGGTCACATTCACAGATTCCAGGATGCGGCCGTATCTTTCAGGGGCTGCTCATTCCTCCCTTCCGCAGCCTGGCTCTGGAGCAGCGGATTCTGGGGCTCAGTGGGAGAAGGCCCTTGCCCCAAGCAGCTGGTCCATGACACAGGCGTTCTGGGGTGCACCAGGAGGCTGGTATTGAAACCACCATTTTTAAAAAAATTTTTATGGCCTGTGTTGTGGCACAGCAGGTTAAGCTGCCATTTGCAAAGCTGGCATCCCGTATAGGTGCTGGTTTGAGTCCCGGCTGCTCCACTTCCCATCCGGCTCCCTGCTAATGCACCTGGGAAAGCAGCGGAAGATGGCCCAAGTGCTGGGGCCCCTGCACCACGTGGGAGACCTGGATGGAGTTCTGGGCTCCTGGCTTCAGCCTGGTCCAGCATTGACTGTTGCAGGCATTTGGGGAGAGAACCAGCAGATGGGAGATCTCTCTCTCTCTCTCTCTCTCTCTCTCTCTCTCTCTCTCCGGCCTTCAAACAAACCTTTGAAAGCATGATTTCCTCAGAGCACAGCACGCGTGTCACTCACTACCGTCCAGACCTCGGTCAAGGTTGTACATCAGTCAATTAGGAGCAATCCCATTCTGCAGAGGAGGAAGAGAGGCACAGAGAGAGAGGAACTTGCCCGAGGCCACACAGCCAGCCCGATGGCCTGCGCTCTGTGCTGGGAGGCCCACATGTCCTCCTGTGTCAGAATAGTCCTGACGCGTGTCAGTCGGCACAGCGCACGTTTGCGAGTGACACTCTGCACAGCTCTGAGGCCTGGGGGGCGGTGGGGGGCGGTGGAGGCCTGTGGCCTAGCTATGGGGATAGCCTTGTACAACATCATGTCCTAGATTGTAGAAGGGAGAGGCCTGCCTGGGGGTGCCAAGGGAATTCTTGCAGGCAAAGAGGCCTGAGCTAAACCTCCTAAAAGGAATGAACCTGACCCAGGGAAAAAGCCTACCGGGCAAGTTCAAGGCAAGGAGATGGGAATGCGGGAAGAGCCCAGTGTGGGGCACGAAGCAGGCCGTGGCGGGGGATGGGCACAGGCAGAGGCTTTGAACTTGATCCTGAGAGTCCTGGGGAGCCACTGCGGGTTTAAGCAGGAGCTACCATGGTCCAGTTTGGTTCGTACTTTAAAAAGACGATTCTGGGGGTGGGGCTGGCATGGGGCATAATGGGCTAAGCCTCCACCTGCATTGCTGGCATCCCATATGGGCACCGGTTCGATTCCCAGCCACTCCTCTTCTGATCCAGCTCTCTGCTATGGCCTGGGAAAGCAGTGGAAGATGGTCCAAGTTCTTGGTCCCCTGCACCTGTGT